AAATAGGCTGTAATAGCATGTGCATATGAAAGAGAGGGAAGAGCTATACCTTCAATGGGTCTCATTATGTCTCATCCCCTGCTGCAGCCCTCCAGTTTGTCAGGATCTTGGGTATGCAAACGTGCATACCTTGTTTGTTTGCAGGCCAACCCAGGGATCCAAGTCACAGTGGGCCATGTGGCTTCCAGCACTGTGGTTCAGTTTCCTACTGACTGCACCCCACGCTGGACCTCACTTCCGCATTTACATCTTCCAATTACATTCTCACCTTCCCATCAAAATATATGAACTTGGGAACTAAAAACAAATTAAATGTCAATGTATTTCCACATTGTGTTTACTTTGCATTGAATTTAAATACTCTGTGCACTGTTAAGTTAATCTGTTTGCCATCCTAGAAAAGATAAACACACTGAAGGATATATACATTATTCAAAGATCTGAACAGAAATGAATGATTGAGCAAATAGTATTACACATTGGAATGTGAGGAAGTAGTTACTCTGCATCTGAGCTGTATAGGCAATACACAAAACGCTAGGAAAAGTCATTCTTTTTTCTTGTGTGTCAGATGGGGCTTTTTATGATGTGGTTCTGAGCCTGAATTCACTGATCTGCACGATGTGAGGGTTATTCTGATTCATCTCTTAAAGCTAAAGTGTTAAAAAACCCAAAATTGATGAAACAGAATTGCCTGGGTTCAAATACCTTTTAGTTCCTAACTAACTTTTAATAACTTGTGTAGCGTGGAAGGATAAAAAAATCAAAGAATTAAATTGTTAAGAAGACTGGATAAAAATTCTGTGTTAATTTATCATAGCTGTAAGTGATTGTCTCTGGATGTAGAGTTTTGAAGTTTCTTTGTATCTTCCACCTTTCTATATTTCATACCTTTTAAATCTTTTGTTCCCTTTTTGTCAAACTGTAGATATTTTTCTGGATTTAATAAACTGTACCTGATCTGTTCCTATACCAGTGCTTCGCAGTTATCTAAATATTAAGCTTAGAAGTTATACTTAGATTTTTTTTCTAGTTTTCTTTTTCATTTTTCTATAAGAAACTTCCATCTTACCCTTTAACTATAAATTGAGTGTCTCTCTGTGTGTATAAGTGCATATAAAATTCCCCATTTCTTTATCAATAGTTAATAATATTTGAAGTTTGTGTGGGTCTATTCCTCTATCTGTCGTTTTGACTATTTTTGGCCAGTCTATTTTCCTTAGTTATTTGTTATCTTTCACTATATGCTGAACATTTTATTTAATAAAACTGTCTTTATTATGTCATAGTTATGATAAAGATACCTTCCTCCAGAGATTTTTGTTTCTACTTATCATGTGCAGAAAAATTGTTTGTAAAAAAAAAATTTGCAAAATCATAATAAAAGTTTTATTTAGGACTAGCCAGTGATATAGTGGTTAAGGTGACTGGATCCACATGGCTGACTGCATGTTTTACTTTTTATAACCTGTATAGAGTGGAGGGATAAAAATCAAAGAATTAAATTGTTACAAAGGCTGGATAAAAAATCTGTGTTAATTTACCATAGTTGTAAGTGATTATCTCTGGCTGTAGAGTTTTAAAGTTTTTGAAACCCAGCAGCCTGAAAAACATGCTGTGGACATATGTGTGAGTGCTCAAAATACCCAAAGAAAAATGGAGGGGAAGGAGGAGAAGGAATTGCGATATGGCCACCACGCCCCCCCCCGGGGTTGTGATTTTTCACTACCCCCCCACCCCGAATAAGTGTGCATACTCTATAGAAAATTAACAACAACAACAAAAGCTTCATGCTTAAGAGTCTTCATGCTTGGAGTATCTGAATTATGTAATAATTACAATATGTATGAGACTCAATAATTTTGAATTAACTCATTCAGAAGATGTAGTTGTTTTTATTAATAGTTGTATTTATCATGGAGAAGATCTTATGTTGTTGCAGAAACAGACCGCCAAGAAACCAAGCGCTACTCAGACAATAGGAGAACTCAGGTTTATTAAGCTGGCGGACTCAGAGGAGGAGTTCACACTCCAAGTTCTGTGCCCTGAATAAGCGTGACAGCAAGTTTAAAAGGGCTGGTGCAGCAAGGGGGTGGGGTGTGGGGAAGGAAGGGCTTTGAGCATGGGAGGGAGTCCAATTTGAACTGACTTGGGCTGATTTTGCTATCTGCAGTCTGCAACCATTGGACCCAGTCACTCACAAGAAGCTCAAGAATGTGACTCAACCCTTTCCTGGGGCATGGCAAGCAGTTTTCAGAAGCAAAACAGCATTCAGTTAGGCACTTATGGAAATTCAAATAAAAACAAGGTTCCCCATCTCACAAACAGGTTACAGGTGCAGAATAGAATTCGATCATCTCCCCCCTTTTGAGTCTCCTCAAACATCTGATAAGGAAGTCAGCCTGATGATTTAGTGCCCCATGTGTCTGCTTGCCAGGTAATGACAGGGATCATAGCTAAAAGACTCATCTGAGCTAATGACACCAAACCACGGTGAAGCTTTCTACACAGGACAAGTGGAAAAACGCTAGCAGGAGCTTTCCATACCATTTCCAATCGGGAGATGGGGAGTTGTAACACCTAGACCTATAGCAAAAACCAAAGCAAAGAGGATTATAATCAAAGGCTTACTATGAACGGTCAGGGAACACTCAGGACAGCTCATGCATGCTTTCCCAGAGAGATGTACTCTCAATTTTCTGACATGCATTGATCGAGCAGCTTCCAGAGGGACTGAAGTAGGGCCATTGATTACTCAGGCTTCTGCTGTGTGTAGACTAGTAATCCTCCAAAGTGACTAGAGCAGAGCTATTGCTCCCCTGTCTCTGAAGTATCATCTAGAGGGGCTATTCCTGATCTGTTTTTATGGACCAGGGCCTGAGTGGGTCCATGGAGGTAGCCCTCTTGACTCTGGTGTGATGGATCCACACGGTATCTTTAACAGCAGTAGGAGTAACCAGTACAGCCATGTGAGGCCCCATCTAAACTGTTTGGAAAGGTTCCTCTTTTCTAGCTTTTTATATTTACTTAGTATTATCTGTAATACTCGTTTTTATTTATTTGCTCTAAAGCGGACTAAACTACTCTTGAACAAAACATACCCTCACATTTTATGTTCTATTTACCAAAACATCTTACTTTTTTTTCTGAATATTTGGGATGCATAGTTTTCTCTCTAATTTTAACATTTATTTTCTAATTTCTAGAAATATTTTTACAACACATAAGTTTACAGATTCAATTATATTTAGCCTCTTTATACCATATAAAACAAGATACCAAAGGCCATTGATTACTCAGGCTTCTGCTGTGTGTAGACTAGTAATCCTCCAAAGTGACTAGAGCAGAGCTATTGCTCCCCTGTCTCTGAAGTATCATCTAGAGGGGCTATTCCTGATCTGTTTTTATGGACCAGGGCCTGAGTGGGTCCATGGAGGTAGCCCTCTTGACTCTGGTGTGATGGATCCACACGGTATCTTTAACAGCAGTAGGAGTAACCAGTACAGCCATGTGAGGCCCCATCTAAACTGTTTGGAAAGGTTCCTCTTTTCTAGCTTTTTATATTTACTTAGTATTATCTGTAATACTCGTTTTTATTTATTTGCTCTAAAGCGGACTAAACTACTCTTGAACAAAACATACCCTCACATTTTATGTTCTATTTACCAAAACATCTTACTTTTTTTTCTGAATATTTGGGATGCATAGTTTTCTCTCTAATTTTAACATTTATTTTCTAATTTCTAGAAATATTTTTACAACACATAAGTTTACAGATTCAATTATATTTAGCCTCTTTATACCATATAAAACAAGATACCAAAGTATATACACTTACAATTCTACTTAATAACTAATGTTTGAATATTTAGAAATAACTCAGGTATTTTATTAATATTACTTGATTTAACAAACAAGTTCAATTACAAACATTTACCCCACTTACATTTACCCAATTTTTGTTTAACCATTGTTTTGAGTTACGTATGGAAAGTAAAGCTATTAAGGTCTTTTTCTTTAAAAAAAAAAAAAAAAAGTAAAACCAAGCTAGCCTTACATCAACCAGACACATTTTATATAAAGACTGAATTACCGGACACGAGAGATTTCCTCAATGTTCCTAAATTTTCTATACCTTAAGCATCTATGTAGTACCCAGAAGGGCCATGAAGTCTTGGGCTATGGGTCCAAGGGTATTCCCCAGAGCTTGCAGATAGCAGGGCAGGTTTAGCTCGCCTATCCTTCAGGAATCTCCTTTTAGCTTAGAAATGACAGGAGGATGGCATCCAAACAGAATTTCAAAATGAGAGTAGCCAGATCATCGGGACTGCTGCGGACTTGGAAGTGAGCCAGAGATAACACATCAACCATCCTATTCCTGTTTCCTGGCACAATTTAACTAGGGCGCTGTCAATGGTCTGATTAATGCGCTCAACTTTCCTTGGGCCATGGGATCAGTAGACAATATAGAGCTTCCATTCAATTCCCAAAATCTTAGCTGCTGTCTGCGTGATTTCAGAGATAAGGGCAGGCCCATTGTCTAATTCTATGGTCAACGGCAATCCATACCTAGGGATAATTTCCCTGAACAATGCCTTGGCTACTTCTGGGACCTTTTCTATTCTGTTGGAGAATGCCTCAGCCCAGTCCAAATAGGTGCAGACTAGTTTCAATGGATATTGGTAGCCTTGGTATGGATTAACTTAGTCAAGTTCACTTCTAGTCCTTGTAAGGGAAGGTTCCAATAGCTTGCTATTCCTGCAAGAAGCAGCTGAGTCAACCAGTACTGAAAACAGTCAATAGATAGCATTTTACATGAAAGTAAGTAAAACTAGTACCCCTTTGTCCATTTTAACTAAATGTTTCTAGTTCTACCTCTAGAAATAAATATTTGAAGAGCTTTTTGTTTTTGTCAATGAACTAAAAGTATTTATCAGTACTGATATGAAACATAGTCAGGAAATTTTTACACCTCACACTTCTGCTCTCATCTCAGCATCATGGCCTTCTCCGAACTTCTACAATATGTGGGAAATTTTGGAAGATTCCAAATTATAATGAGCATTATGATCGTATCAGCCATTACCTTTATAACTACTTGCAACCTAGTGGAGAACTTTACAGCTGCCATCCCTGCTCACCGCTGCTACGTCCATCTCCTGGACAATGTCACATCTGACATCAAACTGACCATGAACCTAACAGCTGAGGCTCTCCTGAGAATTTCCATCCCCATGGGTGCAAACCAAAAGCAGGACCAATGCCGTCGATTTCGTCAAACCCAATGGCAACTTCTAAACTCCAGCAACTTGACTATAAATAACACTGAGCTGGAGACAGAACCATGCCTGGATGGTTGGATCTATGACCAAAGCGTTTTCACTTCTACGATAGTAACTCAGGTAGGACTTGGTGTGAACAGTGAGTAATCAGTCATTTTCCATGTGTAAGACTACATTAAAGCTATTTGAGATGTATTTAGGTTTCAATTTGTCACTCATGTTTCAGTGAAAGAAAGGGGGATAGAAACAACATTTGCTTAACAATTATTACCCAGGGATTACACTAGATTTTTAGTCTATCATAGTGATAGTCATTTAAAAGTGAGGTAGATTTTGGTAATTATTTTCATGTGCTCTTAAGCACATAAATTAACATTTTGGGAGTGAAAAAATTGGAAATATTACCTAGTAGCAATGTTCCTAAATTTTCTATACCTTAAGCATCTATGTAGTACCCAGAAGGGCCATGAAGTCTTGGGCTATGGGTCCAAGGGTATTCCCCAGAGCTTGCAGATAGCAGGGCAGGTTTAGCTCGCCTATCCTTCAGGAATCTCCTTTTAGCTTAGAAATGACAGGAGGATGGCATCCAAACAGAATTTCAAAATGAGAGTAGCCAGATCATCGGGACTGCTGCGGACTTGGAAGTGAGCCAGAGATAACACATCAACCATCCTATTCCTGTTTCCTGGCACAATTTAACTAGGGCGCTGTCAATGGTCTGATTAATGCGCTCAACTTTCCTTGGGCCATGGGATCAGTAGACAATATAGAGCTTCCATTCAATTCCCAAAATCTTAGCTGCTGTCTGCGTGATTTCAGAGATAAGGGCAGGCCCATTGTCTAATTCTATGGTCAACGGCAATCCATACCTAGGGATAATTTCCCTGAACAATGCCTTGGCTACTTCTGGGACCTTTTCTATTCTGTTGGAGAATGCCTCAGCCCAGTCCAAATAGGTGCAGACTAGTTTCAATGGATATTGGTAGCCTTGGTATGGATTAACTTAGTCAAGTTCACTTCTAGTCCTTGTAAGGGAAGGTTCCAATAGCTTGCTATTCCTGCAAGAAGCAGCTGAGTCAACCAGTACTGAAAACAGTCAATAGATAGCATTTTACATGAAAGTAAGTAAAACTAGTACCCCTTTGTCCATTTTAACTAAATGTTTCTAGTTCTACCTCTAGAAATAAATATTTGAAGAGCTTTTTGTTTTTGTCAATGAACTAAAAGTATTTATCAGTACTGATATGAAACATAGTCAGGAAATTTTTACACCTCACACTTCTGCTCTCATCTCAGCATCATGGCCTTCTCCGAACTTCTACAATATGTGGGAAATTTTGGAAGATTCCAAATTATAATGAGCATTATGATCGTATCAGCCATTACCTTTATAACTACTTGCAACCTAGTGGAGAACTTTACAGCTGCCATCCCTGCTCACCGCTGCTACGTCCATCTCCTGGACAATGTCACATCTGACATCAAACTGACCATGAACCTAACAGCTGAGGCTCTCCTGAGAATTTCCATCCCCACGGGTGCAAACCAAAAGCAGGACCAATGCCGTCGATTTCGTCAAACCCAATGGCAACTTCTAAACTCCAGCAACTTGACTATAAATAACACTGAGCTGGAGACAGAACCATGCCTGGATGGTTGGATCTATGACCAAAGCGTTTTCACTTCTACGATAGTAACTCAGGTAGGACTTGGTGTGAACAGTGAGTAATCAGTCATTTTCCATGTGTAAGACTACATTAAAGCTATTTGAGATGTATTTAGGTTTCAATTTGTCACTCATGTTTCAGTGAAAGAAAGGGGGATAGAAACAACATTTGCTTAACAATTATTACCCAGGGATTACACTAGATTTTTAGTCTATCATAGTGATAGTCATTTAAAAGTGAGGTAGATTTTGGTAATTATTTTCATGTGCTCTTAAGCACATAAATTAACATTTTGGGAGTGAAAAAATTGGAAATATTACCTAGTAGGGATACAATTAATCAATTAAATAACATGTAGAAACCTCTGAGGTTAGTAGCTGGCATCACTAAAAGCTCAGTACAGTACAGTAACAACAGTTGTTGACAATTCAATATATGATCAAAACCAAAGAGGGTACCATGCAATATAATGGTAAATGTTGGAAATGGTAGATATGATTTGATCATTAAATAATGTAGTTTTTAAAGAGAAAACTAAATATACAGAAGTAGTATTAAGAAAATTAAGAATTCATAAAAGAAATTTCATTTTTGTAGACAGATATTCAGATGACATTGAGATCATTTGTTTACTGTGAATTCTTTATTTTTTGCCCTTTTTCCAGTTTGTCAATACATTTATTAAAATGTGCTACCCAAATTAAATTTGATTCATTGATGTTACTGTGAGTGCAACTTATCTCCATTAACTGGAAAATACTGTTGACTTAAGACAACTTCAATTGCTAATTAAATTTATCATGATTTTTCTTGTAATTTTACTTCTTTGAATCTTTTCTTTCATCATATTTTCTTCAGACATTTAGAATCCTAGTATAATAAGTAAGGAAACTATTCAAATATAAAATTTTCTATAGTAAATGTCCATTTGGATACCTCATAAACACATTGATCTAATGAACTTTATTACTACAATTTCTAACTCAATTCTAATATCTCAGTAATGCAAATTTTATATACAACTTCCTCAGATATCAGATCTAGAGACCTTATTAATTTTATCTTCTCATCCTCTTTCTTTACCTAATTTCTTTCGAGTATTATCTATCATAAAACTTACATGGGTATCTATATTAATGTAGTCATTCGCATTGCTATCAACACAAATGACTCTCACTTCTATCATTTTAATAGACACTAATTCTACTCTCCATGTATTTATCATTTTTTGGAGATATTCTCTGATATATTTTCCACAGTTAAGTAGAATTTATGTTTCTAAAACTTAAATCCAATCATATTTTAGTCCTTAAAACATTTCTGTAGCTTTTCTTTGTCATGGTTCATTGTCCTCATTTTAATAAATTTATTGAGTAACCTAAAGTATAAGATGCCTTCGACTATTAACCAGAAGATGGCCTAATGGTTACATTGCTGGACTCGCACGTAGTCAACCACAGTTCGAGTCCCAGATTCATTGACTTAAAACTAATACAAGGCACACGTCCGTGCATGCCAAAAATCCCGAGAGGAGACTAGAGGAAAAGGGATTACAGTGTGGCCATCTCCTTAGGGGGTAATTTCTCACTTTATGTCTCCCTGTCTCTGTCTCTCTGGTGAGCATATACATCCTATAGCAAAAAAAAAAAAATATATATATATATATATACACACACACACCAAAAAAAAATACACACACACACACACATACATGTATGACTTAGCCTTAATGGCATTCATACATCTTTTGGTTCTTTTATCATCAGATATTCTCCATGTGATTTTCTGGCAATTATCATGAATAGAATGCAATTCAGTAGAATTGAGTCCTTTCAATCTATGTTCACCTTCCTTTTACAAACTTTCCTTTTATATAGCCATCAGATTTGAGGTTAATTATTCTTTTACAAAAATAGCCCTGTTCTTTTAGATTGTTTTAGTTTTCCAATTAATGTAACTCTGTAACAGTTGTATTCTCTTCATGTATAATTTCAGAAGTATTCTTTCTATATCTCTTTTCCCTCCATAGTTTCTCAGCTCCCTAAAGAATACTACCTTGGTCATTCACATATGTAAGAGCTTAACATAGTATTTGGAATAGAATTATTGAAAGTACCTTGCAACTTTGGAACATTTTAAAAGTATACATGTCTTATAAAATGACCTTTTCAACTTCCTGCTAAAGAATTTTACAACTCATATGCCTAATTTTATATTGTTTTTTAACCATTGATCTATCCCACTTTCTTTTCTCAGTGGGATTTAGTTTGTGATTCACAGTCACTTAAACCATTGTCACAGTTCCTATTCATAGTAGGATACATAATTGGATCACCTACAGGTGGCTACTTTGCTGACAAGTAAGTCTCGTATTTCAATTCATGAATGACTAAAAATACATAGTACAAATGTTCTCTGAAAACTCAGTAGTTAATGCCAAGGACCTAGAAAGAGGTATAAATAGCCTAACTGAAAAAAGTAGATATTCTGTGTAGTTGCATCCTAGTTAGAGTGCACCTATCAGATAGTGTAGATTGAGGAGAGCTGCCTCATTTGAAAACAAAATAGCCTTCTGATTTAGTCTGGTTTGCTTTTAAAACAGATTCTGGGATAATGATCTGTGTGCCATATTTTTATGTGGGATGTGAGTCCAGGGGGATATGAGGAGGGAAATTAGTAATAGTGAAAAAGAAGGAGGAAATCTGTTCCCAAGGTGTCACTCCCTGGCACTGCCCATCTCACCAGCACACACTTTGCTACTGTTGTCAGAGAAAGTCCTTTGTTGGCAGACACAGGCACCTAACCTTAGAAGCCATTAGAGATATGAGATCAAGGGGTAACAAGAAAATCGAGAAGGTACCAATATCATTGCTACAATATGAGAGTTACTTTGAGACTTAGATGGCAGGTTACGAGGTAAAATGAATGGTGTAGTATGTCCCCAGTAGTAGTAAAAATAACAATGAATGTTTAGAGATAGATAAACTTAGAGTAAAATGGGGAAAGAATAAGCTGGATAACATGCAGAGAGCAGAATTTCATATAAAATCAGAGGATATTGAAAGGATTTGAATTGCAGGTTATGAAAATTGGATAGTACCCTGTGTATAGCAGAGCATAATTGAATTACTGATGTTTTGTGAGTCAGGGAACATGTTTTCATTTCATTTTATTCTGGATAATTTTCATCTGTCAAGCACAAGAAAAAGAAACTGGAGAACCGTGCAATAACAATGCAAATAGATTAACTGCTGCCTTGGTCCGTTAGGGCTGCTGTAACAACATACCACAAATGAGTGGGTCACTGACAACACAGGAATTTATTTCCCAGTACTAGAGGCTGGGAAGTTCAAAACCAAGGGATCTGTAGAATCAATGCGTGGTAAAGACCCACTTAGCAATTCATGAACACCCCTCTTTTCATGGTGTCTTTACATGGAGAAAGCTTTACATGAGCTAGCTTTCTGGATCTCTTTTATAAAGACACTAACACCATCCATCCTTGAAAACTTCACCTTGGGAACCAGCAGTTAGCGTAATGGCTATGTCGCTGGACTCCCACGTAGTCGACCGCGGTTCGTGTCCCGGACCCGGTGGCTTAAAACTCACGCCGGGCGCGTGTGCGTGCGTGCCCAAGATCCTGAGAGGAGAATGGAGGAGAAGGGATTGCGGCGTGACCATCCCCCCTGGGGGGTGATTTCTCGCTTTCTGTCTCTATATCTCTCTCTATCTGTCTGGCGAGCGCACACGCCCTACAGTGAAAATCTCTCCAAAAAAAAAAAGAAAAAGAAAAAAAAAAAAAGAAAACTTCACCTTTATGACCTAATTACCACCCCAAGCCCCATCGCCTCATACTATCACCTTGGAAGTTAGGACTAGTTTTGTGGAGATCTTAGCAACTGGTTATTCAAATACTTATTTTCTGAGTTTTTTGCTATAAGGAACCTGGAGAGACAAAAAGAGACAGAAAGCAAGAAATCACTCTCTAGGGGGGATGATCACTCTGCAACTTTTTCCTCTACTCTCCTGGGTTTCTGGGCACCAACTGCTTGTTGGGGACTCTAGTGGCAGTCAGCCATGTGAGAGTCCAACACCTAAAACACTATATCACCTTCTAGCACCTCTGACACCTCCAAGATTTTTTTAGTGAAATCTTGTGAGCTGCTATCTTGCATACCACATGCAGGCACCTAATCTCCCCTGATCTGCCTGAGACCTCCTGAATGCCAACCCTAGTCCCCTGCCCCATTTCCACTGTCTTCCAAAGAAATGATTAAAGAGGAGGTGCAAGCAGGCCAATCTTAATGAGGCTCTGTATATTCCACAAGCATTGCCTTCTTATTTTGCTTTTAGTAGCCATTTAACTTAGTAAGATGCAAAAAGGTTGGATCAAGTTTAAATAACTCTGCTGCCCCTTTCACATCAGAGAATCAAGAACTACCGAACAACAAAGGTGTGCCTGCTTCTCCCATATGCCCATCTGGCTGGCAGGGAAGGAAAAGAACTTGCATGTTAGTTAAGGAAGAAGCTGGGTGGGACGACAGGGAAAGGTAGGGTAAAAACCAAGCTGGTCCACAATGTGTTGCAGACTGTAAGTCAGAGTACCATTTTTTGTTCATTTTTTTTTTTAATTCTCAGAATGCACAATCTTTAAAAAATATCTTAAACTCTAAAAAGAAAGAGATTAGGCATCCTGATAAAAGTTATAGTGACTCCAGAAATGAAGTTGGGGGAGATTTTATATAAATAAAAAAAAAATGTGTTTAAAAAGAACTAGCCTAATTAATCACCAAAATCTTATAAGTTTCTAAACATTGCTAAATACTATTTCCATGATGCTTTAAAAACTATCTTGATCATACAAAACTCACATTCTTTTGGGGAAGGTGGGCATTTATACAAATTTCTTCACAGAATGGGATAATTGCAATGAGAAAGGTAAGAACAGAAAGCAGAGGAGATGTGTCCAACCTGGAAGTTCTCAGGATAATACAATTGCACAATGGCGTGTGTACTTTATTTTTGTATATTGTTTACTTACTTGACTCGTTTTCTCCCAGATTTGGCCGGAAACCCATATTGTTGGCTGCTTCTCTGTTGTTTGGACTCCTGGGCATTTGTTCAGTTTTTGCCCCAACTTTCCCAGTTTACTGTACGCTAAGATTCCTTATGTCAATATCCCTGGCAACAATATACAGCAATTCCTTTGTGATCCGTAAGTTTGACTTAGCTCTTGTCTTCTCTCACCAAGTTTTATAAAGATTTTTCAGTACACTCTCATTGTGACGGGCTGCTCATACTTTTCTTTTAAGTTATAGAATGGATTCCAACTGAAGCCAGACCTATGATGATGACAGTGGCGGCTCTATGTTTGAGTACTGGCCAGGTGTTACTGGCTGGTCTGGCTTATGTCTTCCGAGACTGGCACCTGCTCCAGTTTTCCATTTGTGTGCCCTATGTCCTCTTCTTCCTGTTCCTGTGGTATGAAGCTTTTTCGTTTTGTTTTTTCCTTATGAAGGTTTGACACTGAAACTTAGAATACACATGTACTAGTCACTCTATCTCCTTTTAGAATTTTTTTAAGTGCAAAAAAGAATGTAATGGTTAAATCTCAAAAGTTCAAGAAATGCACTAAATTAAATATTAAATTAAGCATTTAAAATAGAATTCAGTTTGGATTTTCCTACTCACACACATATGCATATACTCATACTCACACAGCACCATCACTATCAAAGGAATAGTTCATACTGAGTATATTTGTTATAGGTAAAGTGAAGTGGATTGGGGCCAGCCAGTGGCATAATGATTATGGCACTAGACTCCCATATGGCCAACTGGGGCAAGTCCTTGAACTGGAAGATTAAAAATCACCCTTGGCGTGTGTGCCTACATGTCCAAAATCCCAAGAGGAAAAGATGGAATTGTGGTGTGGCCATCCACCCTTGGGGGGTGGGTGATCTTTCACTTTCCCTCTCAGTGTTTCTCACTGTCTCTCTCCATCGAGTGCATGTTCCCTATGGCAAAAAAAAACTTAAAAAATAAATAAATAAGATAAAGCGTGATTGATTGAGTAATCATAATCTGGAGAAACTGAAGCTTGAAGAAGACATGATAGGACGGCATTGAAGATAAGATGCAGGAATCTTCAGCATACAAAGGAGTCAAAAGTTTCTGAAATGTGGGGGAAAAAATGCACACTAGTTTATTTAACATTAGTAGCTTCTTTCTCTTAAAAATTAAAAATCCATAAAGAAGAAATACTGTTTCCAAATATAAAAATAAGAACAATAAAAAATAAACAATCAAAAAATTGTAAATGAAGTAAGTAATTAATAAGTTAACTATTGAGGAAAAATATGACCTAAGACCTAAGCCCCTTCTGGAATCACTTCTTCTAAATTGAAAAGGCCCAACTCTTCTGTAGAAGGCCCACCACCACAAGAATCAAGGTTTCTGAATTTTTATCTAATTAGGATTGGTCCCTTACCCCATTTCAATGTCTCTGCCCTCTCTTTATAAAGGACATCAGTGGAGTCTGCCCGTTGGCTGATTATATCTGGCAAGTTGGAAAAAGCATTGAAGGAAATGAAGAAAATAGCCTACTTAAATGGAAAAAAAGATGTTGGAAAAAATCTGCAAATTGAGGTTAGAAAATATAGTTACTATGAAGGAAAATCAATAAAATTACACTGTGCTGCACAATCAAAGCATAAAAGCCAGGAGAGTCAAAAACATCAGTCTAAAAATATAGATAATGATATTGAGCATTGGGGCCATGCAATTAATCCAATCATGGGAAAAGGAAAATCACTCCTTGGAGATAGGGTGCATTTTATGTGACAAGATGATCACATTGAGAACCAGCAGTTAACGTAATGGCTATGTCGCTGGACTCCCACATAGTCAACTGCGGTTTGCGTCCTGGACCCGGTGGCTTAAAACTCACGCCGGGCGCATGTGTGTGCGTGCTCAAGATCCCGAGAGGAGAACGGAGGAGAAGGGATTGCAGCGTGACCCTCCCCCCGGGGAGTGATTTCTTGCTTTCTGTCTCTCTGTGTGTGTCTGGCGAGCGCACGCGCCCTATAGTGAAAATCTCTCCAAAAAGAAAAAGAAAAGGAAAGAAAGAAAAAGAAAAAAATGATCACATTATGTAAAAATGTATGAAAAATGAAGTTATGGGACCTGCAGATGGCGGTTACCATCTGCAACCTAACCCATAGTTAGGTTGCTGGACTCCCATGTAGTCAACTGCGGTTTTGAGTCACGGACCCAGTAGCTTAAAAACTCATGCTGGGTACATGTGCATGTGTGCCCAAAATACCTAGAGGAGACTGGAAGAGAAGGGATTGTGGAGTAGCCATCCCCCCTGAAGGGTGATTTCTCACTTTCTGTCTCTCTATCTCTCTGGAGAATGCATTCACCCTATAACAAATATCTCTCCCTTGAAAAAGAAAAATGAAATTATGGATTGTTGTTAGTTCAGAAAAACTCCTTGTAAATTAGATGACAGCACTGAGACCATTAATTCCGCTTTCCCTCATAATTTCTTCTTTTATTTCTTGTTTTTTTCCCTCTCAAATGTATTTTTATTTCATAGTTTTAGTGTTCTTAAGTTTATTTATTTCTTTTGTCTGAGAGAGAAACAGAGAGAGTGAAAGAGATTAAATTTAATATTTAATTTAGTTTATATCTTGAACTTTTGAGATTCAACCATTGTGTCCTTTTCTGCACTTTAAAAAATAATAATACTGATGGAGATAAAAAGTGACCAACAGTCCATCAGAGAAAGAAACAAACAAAAAGATGGAGACATCACCCTCGATAGGGTCTTAAACACAAGCCAGTTCCAGTGTTAATTAATCTCAAACCACAGCCATGTCCTGTGCCTGGTGTGCTCAAAGAGGCCTCTGGACTTTAATGGAACCTGTCCATGTGGGCCAATCTTGAAGAGCATTGATTTAGAGCTATGCCACAGTTTGGTCCCTTCTTTCATATCTTTAACTTAAAGAGACAGAATAGAAACACCCTGCCCATTGCCAGTGCCAACAAGGAACAGTTCATCACAAGATCTAGGTATTTTAACATCGGATGCTCCTGTGCAGCGGGAGCTAGAGCCCACCTGACCGACAGCAGTTGGAGCTATGTGAGGAGATAGAAATGATCTCTTTGAGAACTAGTTAGTGGAAGACACTTTGCTAATGATTCATTTGTGTTTTCCATAAACTCATTTAATCTTATATGTCTCCCCATAAAAGGAGGATAATCTTAAAAACTTCCTACCTTTTAAACAGGATTTGCACATAACCTGAGTAAGATGAAAAGTTGAAAGCACAATGTAAAAAGAAATATACATGTTTTCAATGGTATGAACACTTTTTTTTATTTTGTTTTTAGGTTTCTCCTCTAGTCTCCTGGAATTTGGGGTACATATACACACACACCCAGTGAGATTTTCAAGATGCCAGGTCCAGGACACAAACCTGCATCAGCCATGTGGGAGTCCAGTACCCCAACCACCTCATCACCTGCTGGCTCCAAACAAAGAAATTAGATTCATCTTGTTGCTGAGTGAGATTGTGAAATGATGTGAAACAGAGCATGAAATAATTCTGGGGAAATGTGGGTCTATACATGCTTTTACAGTTTTGTTTTGTTTTACATTAATGTTTTCAGTGTTTTGAATTACTTTCACTTTAAAGGTTTTGCAATCTGTGATGAGAGAGGAACTTGCTTCTCTCAAACATAACTCCACAAAGATAAGCATCATGACCAATCCCATCATGCTCAAGACAACTTTTTGCCTGTGTTTCCTGAGGTTAGTCTTCTCACTGTATCCTCCAACTTTTAGATAATGTTATCAGACATCAGGACCACACCGACTTCATAGGACATGCCACTTCAATAAACTTCAAGTTAGTTCTATTGGGGAGGTGAAGAAGAAACACATGCAATTTTCAAAAATAAAGTAAAATGTAGACTTAGTGTTCCAAAGTATGTATGAATAATAGAGATTAATGAAAGATGAATCAGTAGAAGCTTCAGTGTTTCATGAAAGAGAAGTGGCAGGATAGAAATAGAATAAGGGAAGTCAATAGGTAGCACATTTCAGAAAAGATCAACTCCACTTACATGAGGAAGCAATAGCTCATAATAGGTCACAGTATTATGTCTTGAGTCATAGGGTCATGCTATGCTTATTGCTATGACTTGGTAATTTGCTTATTCTTTTTTTATTACTTATTAGTTTATTTATTTTTATTTACATATTATTTTTTATTAGAAAACATTGATAATACTTCAAAATAATACCCTATGGTTCAAATTTACAACCTTCGATATGTATTTATTTTAAATCTACTTTTCTTTTTTAAAAGATTTATCTTAATTGTATTTATTTATTTACTTATTTTTAATTTGCTATACGGCACACATGCTCACCAGAGAGAAAGAAAGAAAGTGAGAAAGCAAGCCACCAGGTCCAGGACTTAAACCATACTCAGCCTTGTGGGAGTCCAGCGCCCTTAAACACCGTGCCACCTGCTGGCCCTGTGGCACCATTTTTCTATTTAGCAGTGCAAAGCATAGGTAGACCCCCTGATGTCTCAACTAAACGTTCTCTCTAGGAAGGGAAGAAAGTAATAAGCATGCAATCTTTCTATGACAAGGTGCAGCAAAGTCATGGTTTTTAAAAATGCAGGCAAAACTATAGAGATAGAAACAAGTCAGTAGTTAACAGGGTTTGAGAAAAAGGGCCGGTTAGTTAGATGGTTAAGAGGATATTTTTATCTTGGGATTGCAGATCCTAGTGATAATTTCCATCCTCAACAACCAAAAGATTGTTTGGCACAAAAATCTCAGCCGTAAGATTTCATTCAGACTTTGTGTTTTCATGGGAGAAGAGCTTAATGCCATATCTTTACTTTTTCTGTCAGGTATCTATATTCCAAGTACGGTGAACCATAATGAAATCATGAAATAAATATTGAAAATGTAGGAAAAGAACAATGACGATGTATTCCTAACATGTCCTTTCATCCTCTATTCTTTCACAGATTTTCTGCCGTTTTCTTCCTGTATGGTCTGCTGCTTGATTTACAAAACCTGGGGAGTAATATGTTTCTGTCTCTGGCTCTGCTAGGAGCCGTGGACTATCCAACCAAATTTCTTTCCTTTTTTGTAATGAGATTCCTCAAACGGCGACCCTCAGTAGCTTTCACCCTTTTCACAGCTGGATGTTCTACTTTAGTCAATGTATTTGTTCCCAAAGGTAAGAAAGGCCATTAATTTTTGGAAAGAAAATAAGAGTATGTTTATAGTGGTATGTAGAAATGTATTAAATAGTGTTGTACATATTGATCAAATTCAGGCAAGGACAAAAACTTTAATACAACTTGGTGAAAAGATCTAGGTATTTTAAGATCAAATGCTACTGAAAAAGTAGAGTTTATTATTAATTATACAGCTATTCTTAATTTAACTGATTATCAAAAATATATTACTGTATTAATTTATTTCAACTATATTATAAATTTTGATAATTTATATCATAAACTATACAGTTTCCATATTATGTAGTTGATACATTCTAAAATATGATTGATATTATATATATATTATCAATTTATAGATAATATTAAGATATAAATAAGATCTTACAGTTATGGCCCTTCAAGCAACATTTATTCATTATTCACAACATCATGAATTTTGGGGGCTGAGCTCCAAATAAAATTGGTGATTGATATGTGATTTCAGGGACCAACAGTTGGCATAATGATATGTGATTTCTGCCATAGAGGAGCTTTCTTTGTGGAAGAGAATTGCCTAAAACTTCAGTATATGTAACTGGCTACTGCTAAAAGACTTGACCTAGATTCTTTGGAAATACAATGCTCTTGTTTGCTTACCAGTGGTACATAGAGAGTTCCTGGACGTAAAAGAGAAGCTAAAGTCAGCACAAGACGCTGAGCTGTCAGCTCTATGAGAGAGAAGTCCAGAGTGGGCTCTAGGTTTCTCGGTTGGTAGCTGATGAATGCTCTTACCTTTCACTGGCAGGATGTATCACAAATTCAGTTAGGGGCATGTTGAATTCAAGATGGCTTTTGGGTTTTCCTTAGAGTAGCATTGATTTATCATCCAGATAGGAGTATGCACCAGAGTGAAAGTAAAATGCAATGAATAATTGCGTCACTTTGAATGGCATACAGTGAAATGTTCCTGGTCAAACTGATGTGTGTCCTAGTCTGTGCTGAGTCATCAAAGTGGACCTCTCAGCAACAGTTGCAACCAGCAGTGAAATGGTTATTTACATTAACAAAGCATTTTGAGTAAATATTTGGTATTGTTGGTAGTAGGAGAAAAGATCAATGAAAATTATTTTAAAATTAAAAAGCAGGATCTAGGTTCACAATGTGTGTATATAAGCGTACATGTGTGTGTGTGTGTGTGTGTGTGTATGTGTGATGAAGATATATATATATATATATACATATATAAAGAGAGAGAGAGGAATTTACCAATTGGAGCAAAGAGACATAGTGAATAATTTCAAAATCTATAACAAACCAAGGAATGGTATGATTCACAGCACAAATGGAGGAGTTGGAGTTGAAGGTTAAGATAATAATTCAGGAAAGTGTACCTTCTTTTATTTCTGATAAACAGAAAATTAATTTATCTATGTGGTATGAGGGAAGTCAGTGTATCTTTTGGAGATTAAATAATATAATATGTGTTTGAATCTTGACTGACTTAAGTGGGAACTGCAAAATTCAGGCTATTGAGAGGAAACTCTAAATACTTGGTCATAATACATGGATTTGTTCAAGAGAATATCTCTGCATTTATTGAAGCTTGCTCAGGAGAATTTCCATACAAGTCTTAGGCATTTGAATGCATACAAATTACATGAAATTTTTTTTTTTGAGAGATTTTCACTGTAGGGCGCGTGCGCTCGCCAGACAGACAGAAAGAGACATAGAGACAGAAAGCGAAAAATCACCCCCCAGGGGGGATGGTCACGCCGCAATCCCTTCTCCTCCATTCTCCTCTCGGGATCTTGGGCACGCACACACAAGCACCTGGCGTGAGTTTTAAGCCACCGGGTCCTGGACACGAACCACGGTCGACTACGTGGGAGTCCAGCAACATAGCCATTACGCTAACTGCTGGTTCCCAAATTACATGAAATTTTCATTAGCCTTGTATTGCCTTTCAACTTGATTATAGCAGTTTACCTGAAGTTTGATAGATAATTTAAAATTCAATTTAAAATTCAATTGCAGACTCCCAGGGGTATGATATTAGGAAATGACCTTTTCTAACCAAAAAAGAAAAAAGTCAGAATAAGTAAATAACAGTAATTTCATATTTGCAAGACATGTTAAATGGAAATAGATATATCACTGAAAATAGTAAGTCAGGGGGGCAGCAGGTAGCATAGTGGTTAAGGTGCTGGACTCTCACATGGCTGACTATGGTTCAAGTCCTGGACCTAGTGGCTTGAAAAGCATGCCAGGTAGGTGCACATGCCTCAAATCCCAGAACAGTGGAAGAGAAGGGATTATAGTGTGGCCATCAGGGGATTTCTCACCTTTCCTCTGACTATCTCCTCTGTTTCTTTTGCAAGCACACATGCTCTATGGCAAAAACCTTTTAAAAAAGAAAGGAAAAAAAAGGAAAAGAAAATAGCAAGTCAATTAGAGGAGCAGCATGTAAAGCAAGGTATGGCATGGAGAGCAGTGAATAGCAAAGCAATGAAAGCACTTGCTGCCTTTTCCTCTCCCATGTCTGCCTAATCATCGTCATAACATCCCTAGATTTAAAAAACAATAATATATTGGGACCAGCGGATGGCATAGTGGCTATATTGCTGGACTCCTACATCGCTGACTGTGGCTAAAATCCAGGACCCAGCGGCTTGAAACACACTGGGTGCATGTGCATACGTGCACTAAATCCCGAGACGAGAACAGAGAAGGGATTGTTTCATGGCCATCACCTTCTAGGGGTAAATTCTCACTTTCTGTCTTTCTCTGTCTTTCTGGCAAGCACACACAACTTATTTCAAAAATTTCTGTTAAAAAAAAAAAAAAAAAAAAACATTGTGCACTGGTTGAATACTGACTTTAAGAATTAGACTTTTAAAAGAAAGCCATCCACAAAAATTCTTACTAATACTGTACATTCTCAGGAAAAAGGACTCAAGAGAAGTAACCCAAAGTCAACAAGGTTATTCATTCTAGGGGATTTATACACTTCATTGAGTTGATCTTGGCACACCAATGACTTTCCCTTAATCTCACAGACATACCTTTTTTGCGCCTTGGAAGTGCTATCTTTGGAAAAGGACTCATAGCGATCTTCTTCAGCATGAGTACAAACTACTTTCATGAACTCGTACCCACAGGGGTCAGGTAAGCCACTGTACACTTCCTACCGAGACCTCAATTGAGGGTTCCCTGGATTTGCCAAAGAGTCAAATAAGTCTACGTAAATTTCTACCAAACGCAATTTTAACTAATTACCACGGGGTTTTCAAACTAGGTTAGCCATTCGTCCTTGGTACACATTTTAATTATTCATAGCTAATTGGCAATTATTTCTCAAATTCCTGACATTTTTATGAGTCAAACTACCTGTCCCCTTCCGTATTTTGTACTTTATCGCTCTTATCTCCTCAAATGTATTTATCAACAACCTACTAGGCTTTCTTTCCATGTTACCACTTTGTTCACTAAATGTTCTTATTTCTACTCTGCCTTGGTCCCGTACCCATAAGCTTGCTCATCAGTGTTCTATCCCATAGACTCAACTAGCATTACGTTTATACTTTACCTCAGAATTGACACAATACCATAATTTAAAGTGAATCTTTACTTGAAAACTGTAACACACAAGTCACTAAAAAGCGACTTCAGAATGTGTAATAATCTAATCCAACACAATAAAAATCTTCAGTTTCACAGCCAAGGGCAAACTACATCATCATGTAAAACGGCTGCCAATTGTTCAGTGTTGGATATATACACTGAATCATATTTCAGTTTTTTAAAAGTATTGCTTTTGTCACACATACACTTGAGTTTTTCCTGTTGACATTTGGGTCTGTGGTTCTCCACTATTTCCTCTCTAAACATTTTCTTTCCATCATCTACCTGGAATATCTTTCTTACTGTTTTAGCTTTATGAAATATTCTTCTTCTTTCAAGATATGAATTAAATATTATCTCCTACAGAAAATCTTATCCGCTCCCCACCCTCTATTCTCCCCAGACAGAATAAATCTCCCTACTCTATACTGCTTACTAAAGACATTTTAAAGTGAATGTATTTAATATTCCAAGGACTTCCTATAAACTTACGATACTCTCTAAAGTTGAATACAATCTCATAATTAAGGGATGCTTTTCTTTTCAAACTACAAATATTCATTGATGGTACTATGCTTCAAAATCATAAAAAAAAACAGAGACCAAAAATGATTTATCTATACATACAGTGAAAGATATACAGTACAGGATACACTGTGTGATAGAAATCAGTGAATACACATGCTTTCAAAGAGTGCATAGTTTAATAAATAAAACAAATTTAAACAGAAGAAGGAGGAGGAGGAAAAAATAATAACATGAGAAAGAGAGGAGGAAGGTAGAAGGACAAGGAGGAAAGGAATGAAGAGAATAATAGTACTTCAGAAACTTGGGTAGCTAGACTCAAATAGAGGCTCTGATGATAACCCCTGAGCTCAAAAGACAAGGTTTCCTTCATAGACGTACTGTCGTACAGTCAGGGACAATAAATGGGTAAACTTATAAATAGCAAAGCAAATCCACCTTCATACCAATGCTCTGAGAATAGTGTTTCTTAGAGGGCTGAGAATGGGTGTATGCAAAGAGCCCAGGGAAATTAGGGTCATCCACATGTCCAGAGGCATGCTACACTATGTCCCAAAGGCCAGGCAGGAGCCAGTATATAAGCACCAGTGAGCTGAAAATAAACGGGTTCTAATCAAAAGTCATGCATGGCATCAACAGGTAATAAGCCATGATACGGCTTATTACCTGTTGATGATGCCAGGTAGAGTATTCTCAACTGGATTAGTCTGAGAAGTATTTCATGATGGGTAAAGTCTTTTTACAAGCTAAATGAGAAATAGTGATTGACTGTTTTAAAAAATAATTAGAATAATAATAATAATGATTGGGAAAAAGATAGAAAAGATATAGAATGATGAAGCGGGGAGATTAATGTCTCTGTATTGACTGACATGCATGGCATTCCCTTTTGAAAAAGCAATGTAATGCACTGTAAACTTATATGTAATCCAATGTAATATAAAGAAGATTATGATGATAATAAAAATTTAAAAAATGTTATGTGTGGGACAATGTTAACCTAAGAACTCAGAAGGCCGGTGACATTGGAAATTAACAAACAGTGGGGAGGAAAGTACCATGAGCCCAAGTTGACAATGTATTAATAACCTTAGTAAAGTACTTTCAGCACAAGGAGAAGCTGCAGAGGCATGATAGAGATAAATGAAAACACTTCCACCTGATTGCTGTGATGTTTTGATTTTATTTACAAGGTGTATTGTACATATTAAATACTAATAGAATTCTAATGGAGAAAGGTGATCTTGTATAGAGGTTGCATGGAAAAAATTGACCAAGTGTTATTTAAGCAATATTTTCTTATTCCCAAGGTCCACAGTTCAGGGTCTAATTACACTTTGTAATGGACTGGCTGCAGCACTCACCTCTCTAATATTGATCACCAGACAATATTTTGAATACTTGCCAATGATTCTATGTGGCATTTTCCCCATTGTGGCTTCTTTTTCTGTCTACTCCCTACCAGAGACGTTGAATCTTCCACTCCCAGACACTATGGATGATATGAAAAGAAGGTGAGAAAAGTGGGGTTTGCATTTTTTTTTCTTAGAGAAATAGTCTCTGAACTCATGTAATAAGGTGGAAAAGAATCAAAAGTTGACTTTTTCAACATGGTCAAAAAGTCTAGTATAATTAATGAGTACGGTAATTGCTGAATTTTATAGATGAGTTCAATATTTCATATATATGTACATTGACATTAACATTTTATATGTGGGTTATAATAATTATTCTTGAACTTTTTTTATACTTCACAGTATTGAAATTATACTTGTGGGTTCGTAAGTTATCACTTAAAAATATAGTGGTTAAGGTGCTGGACTCCCTCATGGGCCACAGTGGTTCAAGTCCCAGACCTGGTGACTTAAACTAACACCAGGCATGTGTGCATGTGTGCCAAAAAATCCTAAGAGGAGAACGGAGGAGAAGGGATTGTGGTGTGGTCATCCCCCGAGGCAATGACTGGCTTTTTCTCTCTCTGTTTCTCTGTGTCTCTGGATAGAGCACACACTCTATGACAAAAATCTCTTTTTAAAAAAAGAAATTGTATTTGTGAAGGATATTTAAAAAGAACTTAATACAGAAATATCAATATGCACTGATATGGGATCACATTATTATTATGTTATAAACTTGCTTGATATTGCCATTTATTCTGTAAAGTACAACTATATTATTTTGCTAGTGCTCCCAAAACAAAATACTACAATCTAGAGGACTTAAGTAACAGAAATTTATCTTCTCACAGTTCCGGAGGCTAGAAATTCAAAGAGAACATTTTTTATTTAAATTGGCAAGAAGATTCTGAAGTAATGACAGATAACTAAAAGTGAAAAAATGTTTATTTTACAATTGGAAAAACAATAACATATAGAGAAGAGTTTTCTTTTTACCCCCCAAGCTTCAAAATAATGAAAACTTCTTGAAATATTGAGACTGTGTTCACATCTAACCTGCAGACTGTTAAGAACTTTCCCACACTGCTATGCCTGTAATGCTCATCTACCGTATATATACCATTTTTGCATTTTCAAAAACCTACTAGATATACTTTAACCCAGAGGAGGACCTATTGAATATGTCTAAAATTAGTGAAAAAGAATGGATAATGGTCCATTGATGGTCTATATACCAGAATTCATAATTAAATTATAAAAATACTTTCAGGAAAATGTGGCAGGGAAGTTAGAAGTCCTTTTTTAATTAATTAATTCATTCATTCATAACTTCTGAATAAGAATTATACATTCCACAGCTTAGAGCTTGCTAAAAGTGTAGTTAAAAAGCTTTTCAAAGCCCTGTCCATGTCCCACCTTCATTACCCACTCCATGGATATATTCAATGTCACTATTATCATCATGATTTGCATTTATTGAGGGTTTGCCATGTCCCAGGCTCCTCTACATGAAGGCAGCTATTTCAGTTTTTCCTTTATGTCTTTTGCCTTATGTTAAAAAAAGAAAACTATATGGCAATAGGGCTAATCCATTATTACTGATATTTTTGTTTGTTCTGTTTTTTTAGGTTTTTACCACAGGGCACGTGCACTCATCAGAGAGTGACAGGGAGAGAAAGTGAGAAGTCACCCCCTGGGGGGGGTGGTCTTGCCATGATCCTTTCTCCTCTAATCTCCTCCTGGGATTTTGGGCATGCACACACCCACATGCCTGGCATGATTTTTCAAGCCACCGGGTTCAGGACTTGAACCGCGGTCAACCATTTGGGAATCCTGCACCTAACCTTTCCTACATCTGCTGAACTCCATTATTACTATTTCTAAACTCACATTCCCTTCCATTTACTGTGGCAAATACAATAAATGTCAATGCAAAAATAAAAGTAATAGTAATAGATATGTGTAGATTTTGTCATGTGCTCAGCATCATTCTAATCATATGACATTTTGTTCTATCATGTGATATGTTTTAATTTTTTTATAGGTTTTTGCCTCAGGGCACATGTGCTCACTGGCGACAGTGAGAAGGAAAGTGAGAAATCACCCCAAGGGGATGGCTACGCTTCAACCCCTTCTCTTCCAATGTCCTCTCAGGATCTTGGGCATTCACATACATGTGCCCAGCGTGCGTTTCAAGCCACTGATTCCAAGACTCGAACCATGGTTCATCATGTGGGAGTCCAGCAACATAATTGCTATGCTATCTGTGCTGGGCCCAACATGTTTTAATTTCATAATAGCTCCTAGAGATGTGTAATTATCATATACACTTTTTGGAAGAGGAAATTAAAGTACAGAGAAATTAAATAACTTGTACAAATTCTCAGATCTGGCAAAGGTGTCACAGTTTAAGGCTTTAAATCAACTTATTTACATAGGATTAAAAAAACACATAAAATTAAATGATGTTAAGTGAACAGTTTGGTAAGTTTTGAAAAATTTATTTATCACCCTAACCAAGATTTTTAATACATAGAAGAAACTAATCATGCTCTAATCAACCCAGAAAGTTTTCTCGTGCACTATTATCAATTCATTGTTCTTTCCCTTGATAAACTCTGGACATAATTTTTATCATCCTAGCTTAACTTTGCTGTTTTAGGGTCTCATATAAATAAAACCATTTCTTTGTGCTTATCTTCTTTTGCTCAACACAATGTGTTGACATTATTCTATGCTATTGTTTGAGTTATGTGCCATTTGTTCTTTTTTTATTGTTAAGCACTTTTCTATGTTCTAAGTACATTACAGCTTGATTATACATTCAGAAGTCAACAGACATTGGTTTGTTTTCACTATTTTTAATAAAAGTGTTATAAACACTTGGAAAAAAATCTTTCTATTAAAATACATGCTTATTTCTCATGGGTAAATTTCTGAGATTGCAGTTGGCAGATCATAAGGTAAATGCATGTAAAAACTTATTACAAAGGTGCCACATTACTTGCCAATGCGTTTGTATTTTCAAACTCCGAGAAGCTCTACATCATCGTTAGCATTGTTCCACACCCTTGCCAGTGACTGATGCTGTTTTAGTCATTCTAACGGATATGAGTGATATTTCATTTTGGTTGTAGTTTATATTATCCTAATAACTAATGATACTGAGCAACATGTCATACACATATTTGTAAACTTTATTCACTCTTTAGTAGAGGGCTTGCTCAAGTCTTCTGTCCATATGGGTTATGTGATGTTTAGTTTTGAAAATGGTTCCTGGTGAAACACTCTTCCAGTATTTATGGCTCAGAGAATCCCCTCCCATGTTGAGTATAAATGGCTCTGTGAACCTTAAAGACCATTTGCTGCACTAATAAGGCTATGCTAGCTCTAGGCCTAAACCTAGAGACTGAGAACTAGGTCTTTTACTCAGTAATTCCTAAAATTTTAACCCAGGGATTTTAGAGACCAGACTCTCTTCTGATAATTGCAAATTTTGTTGCTCAAAAAATAAGGCCTCAAGGGATATCATGGCACTATTCTTGGGTATAATTAAATAGCTGTGTGCTTCTGAGCAAGTTACTTACATTTTCATAGCTCTGGGTCCTGTGGGAGTGACTTGGCATTGCTGTGATAAGATAATACACTTAAGGGTGATTTGTAACTGTATAATGGAGGACAAATACACTGTATTTTTGTATATTTTCAACCATACCCAATACTTACAATTACCTTTACCATTTCCTTTCATTGCAGATACAAAAACTATAAGAAAGCAAGTACCAAAGAAGAAGAGACCAGTGACTGCCTAGACACCACGGAGTGCTGAGTCTGTCCTGGGATAGTTTAAATGAGACGATGGAAGAGTTGTTCTCATTCATTTTGGGGGGGGTGGGGGATCCTCAGACATATTCTTATATCAACTCATAACCTACTTATATGGCTTAGAAGGAGTGAAGTTAATCATGATTAAATAAGTAACTCATTAAAAATAAAACAAAGTAAATTAACTTCCAAGGTAAATGGAATGTCATACTCCAGTAAGTTAGAAAACATACATTCTCATTGTCATAGGTCAGGAGATTCAGCCACAAAGAAAATGTAAAGATGTTTTTAACATCTCAGGGTGTGCAATTTCTCCTAATATCCTCTTGGATTATGGGCAGACATAAAAACAAGAATCAAGGAAACAATGTTTGCTTTAACCTCTGTTAAAATAAACTAGCCCATTTAATAGAGTTTTAATAAAGTAAATCTTAACATGATTTAAATTGGAAAGCTGTCCCAGGACTTCCAGACAACTCCGGCCAGCCTCCTGGTCAGCTCCACCTTTGAAGTCTACAGTACTGGAAAGTGAGGTGTGCAGTAAAAGGAATGTGTCCTACACAAAGCGTAAGTAGGGGAGTGAGGTAGAGAAATCATTGTTTTTTTTGAAGTTTGTTTACATGAACACAGTTTATAAGGTGGGATGCCTGTGAGAGACTGAAGCCTAGTTGTTGTGATTGGCTGTAACTTGGCAACCAACTCAGGAAAACAGCCTAACATGTATGGCTTATCCATCGGAATCAAAGTGTGGGAGTATAGAGGCTGGTTTAGTCCAAAATAACTTAATTTAACAATTGCTACCACTTTACACCACTGTTTTCTTGCCACTTAGCCATAACCTAGGTGAATAGATTGGAAAGTAAATAAAGCTACTTATGTTTGGAGTCATCTGCTGTGATGCAGAGTCCTTGGCAATATCCTCTTCCCAGATGTAGGGAACATCATGGTCCCCTTACCGGACAAGGAAGGAAAAGTTCTGCAGGAGACTCATGCCTACCTGTGGAGAGTGCCGGAAATCAGGTGGGGAGTAATTGCTTTCTTGTTTGGACATATGCTTAGGCAACAGACTTGTTCATTTGTATCTGGAACTCAATTACTAGGAGAAAAATTAATAAGAGATGAATATAAAAACAAATATATACAAAGCATTCACTAAGCAATTGGAAACTTTGTCTTATTTATTTTCGTATATTAGACAAATTTAAACTAATACCTATATTGACATGTTAGGCAAAGTGAACTTTAAATACAATGAATTATATTACAGGAAGATATTGTAATCTCTAATTTGCATTTCATCACTTTAAAAGCTAGAAAAAGAAGACAACTTAATAAATGCCCACCAAAATAATAATAAAATCATAATAAAAATCAAAGAATTGTTTACACTAAAAAGAAGAAAGCAATCAAATTCAAAGTTGGTTCTTTAAAATTTTAATAACATAATAATCCCCTAAATACCCTAGTTTAGGAAAAAGAACATTTTAATAATAGTCTCAGATATTACTATGGATTATAATAAAGGAATATGAAGAAAACCTTCAGTCAAATTTGAATTAGTTAATATGGATAAAAGAATAAATTTCTTAAAAAAAATAAAGAAAAACTTACCAAAACACAAAAAGATATAATAAATCTGTGTGGGTCTGTATATATTACAGAAATTAAATCCTAACTTATAAACTCCTCAGGGAATGGGGTCAGCAGATGGCGTGATGGTTAAGGAGCTGGACTCCCGCATGGCTGACCACCGTTCAAGTCCCAGACCTGGTGGCTTGCTTTCTCACTTTCCCTTTGTTTCTCTTTCTCTCTGTCTCTCTCCAGTCAAACTGAATAATAATAATAATAAAATGAAGTAAACAATTCTTTAAAAAATAAAACTTCTCAGGAAAAAAAAATTCCAAGACAAATGGAAATTCTCACAACATTAAGAAAAAAATAATGTTACAAACTTCTTAGAGAGAAGATTAACTTTTCCAATTTATCTTATGAAGTCAACATAAACTGGATCCTAAGATCTGAAAATAACACAAAAAATGAAAATTATAATCCAAAGAGAGAGAAAATCTGCATGTACTAGTAAATGAAACCCACAAAATCAGAAAATTGGTAGGAAATTAGGATCAAGCGAGTTTGCCCCATTAAATCAAGAATTTTTTAAGAGACATTTTTGCTATTGATCATGGGCACGTGCTCTTACCGGAGAGACAGAGAGACAGAAAATGAGATATCACGCCCCAGGGAAGATGGCCATGCTGCAGTCCCTTCTCATCTCTGGATTTTGGGCACACACGTACACAAGCCAGTGTGAGTTTTAAGCTGCCAGGTTTGGGACTCAAACCGCAGTTGACTACGTGGGAGTCCAGCTACGTAACCATTACGACCACTGAGGTAACCATTACACCGATACGACCATTAGGCCATGGTTTTGACATATGTAAATTAGCTGACAAAGTCTCTGGACTTGATGAAGTAGCTCTTACCATAATAAACCATTCGTCGTAAATAGCACTATGGTCCAGACTAGGGGAACAGAGGGTACCATGCTGGGTCTACATAAAGGCAGAAAGGGCAAAGAAAAGAAAGAAAAGTAAGACATTTTAATTTTTTTTATTCTTTCTGCTTTTATTTTTAAGAGAGAAATATTTTTGCTATAGGGTATGTGCACTCACCAGAGAGACAGAAAGCGAGAAATCACGCCCCAGGGAGGATGGCCACGCCACAATCCCTTTCCTTCCATTCTGCTCTCGAGATTTTGGGCACACATGCATGCACATGCACCTGGTATAAGTTTTAAACCTCTGGATCTAGGACTCAAACCATAGTCAACTACATGGGAGTCCAGTGACATAACCATTACACCATCTGCTGGCCCCATTTTTTATTCTAAAAAATTGATCTAAAAATAATTGATTTAAAAATAATAATATAAAGCAGTAATAGTGAGATATACTTTCAGGATGACAGTAGAAGAAGCCCTACACATAAACTCAGTGAAGTAAGTCTTAACTGGTGAAAACTATTTTTAAAACAGTTATTCCTATTCTCCGGTAATTGTCTTAAAAGCATACAGCAATCAAACACACAACAGTTATTCAAGAAAATCTACTAAAACTTGTTAAGAAGAGTGAGACTTGGTAACTTTTGACCCACAGCCTGCTCCTTCTTTCCCCTCTCTCTCGGAGGAGTGGGAGTAAACCTCCAGACCCGGCATGTGGGAAGCATGCTGGAAAGAAAATCTCTAACAATGAACACAGTTCCACACCAGCAACCAACATGGCGATGTTCTGAGTAAGCCCTGGCCCAAGGTGAATTTCCCTCCACTCCGATTTTACCCAGAGCCTCAGAGATGGATGTTAGTTTTCTGCTAGCTAGAAAACCAAAGAGGAACAGAATTTACCCCTGGACTTCCAGGTGGTCTGAACAGTTGTTTAAAGTAGGGATTTAGGCCCTTACTAGATATGATAATTAGTCATGATAGCAGGGAACGTCTCGTTTCCAAGCAAAAAAAGTCCCTGGAGGATAATGAGTGCATTCATTAAGTCGAAACATAACAGTTTTGCTTTCCACATGTTGGCTCTAATCAATGATCTGCTTACTTATGCTGAAAGCCAACTCTCTCTCAATGTGAGTTTTAAAAGGCCAAGAAGCTGCTAACAGTATCTAAAATGCTCATAGCTCAGGGTTACTTCACACGATGCCAGCCTACCTATTCTTGACCAAGGACAGTGAATAGCAGAGAATGTATGCCCACTATGGACAAGAAGCATGCTTTACCCAGAACCGAATATTCTGGAGCAATTTGGCAAGATCATTTTCTTAAGGTGAATTAATTTCCTCAATTTTGCTTGGCTTTTATTGCCTTCTCAAAATTCAAACACGTAATATCAAACAGATGGCTTGAACCAGTGAATAAATAGGCCATAAAAGAGTTTTGTATACTTCATTGTTCTAGTTTATGGCTAAACACAGCAATCAGGGTTTTCTTTTTTTGAAACCCGGATAAAATTGCTGGTTACACTTTGTTTGAGTTCCAGGTAATCTGGAAGAAATAAAAACTTGTCCAGGAGCATGTGTTCTTGGAATCCTTCTTCATGTAATTTGTGCAAGAAATTGATTCAGCCTTTTGAGGTTTTCCAATCTATAGCTTAACTAAAAAATAAATGAAGACCTAGGAGAAACATGTCTTTATCATTGTCCATTCAGAGCAAACGTATTAACTAATTAGTTACATAGATTCTGTGAAGATTAAATGGAGAGAGTGCAATGATAGAGTAGAAGGTACGTGTTTAAAAATCATGAAAAGGTTAAAAAGATGCTGTAAGTGCAGAGCTCAGATCAGCGAATACAGACATTGAGCATCTATCAGTATGAGTGATCTCCAGAGGGCAATAGACCATATTCAAGGAATCATTTAAAAGGGGGATTATATTTCTTTATCTCTCTGCTGCTCCAAGAACCAGGTTCTGCATTAAAATAGCCAACCATGATCGTCTCAATGTATAACCATCTCAAAAGTTCTTTATTGTGATTTTAGGAGGGCCACAGAGGATTCATTGAGATGGGCACACACTGTGTATGAAGCTATGTGAATCCTACCAGTTAGATGATTAAACGAATTATAAGATGTTAGGGAAGTGTGATGACAGTGGTAACCAGGAGAGTGTATGTCCATCTAGAGTGGCAGATGCTGCTCACCTCCACCCAACGTTGCTATGCATGTTTTGCCAGAATTTAGGATTTTTCAAGAGAAACTAGAAATCTTGTTTCCCGTATTTAGTTAGATTTGCAGAGACAAAACTTAATCGACCATCCCCAGTCTACAAATAGGTATACATGCTCCACATCACTAAGCGATCTAAGAAATGATGAACCAAGGAGTATGAAAATCTGAAGGGATCTGAGTGCTTATTACCTTATCTGACAGTCCCAATGTAGACACCAACTGCAAGGCAATATCTTTAACAGATAGACTAATTGTTCAACCACTGCTAATCTACCATT